ACATACATACATGTTTGTGTTTATGTATTCATGTGTGCGACGTATAACAGTACGTATACACATAAGCGCATGAACATGTACATGGGAACATACTTACGTATAAGTTTGTAGACACACTGAAAGAGAGAAGGGAGCAGTCACAGCGGAGAAGTGTGTCCAAGTGTTTTCGGCCAGTCCAACACCGTGCTAAGCACGTTGTGTGCCGACACTACGAGCACGGTACGCAAGGCCGTCACATGCGACACCACCCGTCTTCTTTTCTTAAGGAGCTCTCACGGGGCTGGTTAGGGCCGTCCTGGGGATGTCTGGGGCTTCTGTGGGACAGCCATTGGGCTCCCCTGGGGCCCTCTTAGGCCGTCTTGGAGTTCTCTTGAGCCATCTTTGGGGCCTTCCCAGCCGTCTGGAGGGTATATTGGGGCCGTCTTGGATCGTCTCGGGGCCGTCTTGGGCTGGTGTAGGTCTTTCTGGTGGCCCGTCTCTTGGGTTAGCTTGGGGCTCCCTTGGGGCCGTCTAGGGGCCCTCTCGGGGCTGTCAGTCGGCCATTCAGGGTTTTCGAAGATCGCAAGTGGGCCGATGTGTACCGAAGACCGTGGAAAGAGTGAAGCATTGTGACGCCTACTGAGAACCAGTGCTTGTGGTCCCTCGATCGTTTCCACGAGAGCTGGGGGTGTCATGCTGGGCATCTTGGAGGCCTGCCTCGTTGGATCGATTCTGCATGTCTTGGGGCTTGTTGGGTGTGTCTTGAGACAATGTTGGGCCATCCTGGCGGCCTCGGTGGCCTTCCTCGGCCGTCTTGGAGCCCTCGGAGAAACGTCGCGAGCGCCAGGGAGGCGTGGAGCCGCCCAAGACGCCTCGGGAGAGGACAGAAATCAGAGAGAAAGAGAGAGGGGAGAAGAAAGAGACAAAGAGAGAGAGAGAGCGGAACGAGGGAGAGAGGGAGCGGCAGAGGAAGAGCGAGGGGTGGGGACGAAGAGAAAGGGAGTTAGAGAGAGAGAGAGAGACAGAGGTGGAAGACACGGAGAGGTAAGAGACTGTGTGAGCGCAACCGAGAGAGGCAGGAGAAGAGGGAAGAGGGGGGAGGGCGAGAAGCAGATGGCGGAGATCTAGTTGGATCAGGGTTGGGGGGGGCACGAAATCTGGTAGAGGGGGGGGGCATCAGAGAGCGCACCGATGTGTGGCGTCGCTCGTCACGCGGACACAAGGGATGGATCCCGCAGACCCGCCTCATTGGGCACCGATGCAGCCCACCGCGAACTTCACGGTGCACGGCGCCGAAGGCGTCAGCGCCGCTTCGCACCGATGCGGCTGCAGGCGCGCTGCGGCTCTGGCCGCCGCGCCGGCGGCGGCCCCGCGGTTGGGGAGCCGCTCCTCCCCGCCGCGGCCCCGCAAGGAACAACCGCGGCACGGAGCCGCGCGCCCCAGACGGGCGCGGCCAGAGGCCCCGTCCTCATCCTCCTCCTCCTCCTCCTCCTCCTCCTCCTCCTCCTCCTCCTCCGTAGCCATTTTGGCTCAAGCCCATCTGGCCTCTGCTGGGAGGGGGCCAGATCAGGGTCGCGTCGGGTGGTCGATCGATCCCTCGCGCGATCGCCAGCGATCAGGCCGCCCAGGAGGTCGGGTTCACGCGAGCCGATCGGCGCCCCTGGGGGGGTGAGGCATCCCTTGCCTCGCGGGCCTCCCCCCTTGGGCCCGATACGCGGCCGCGCGCTGCTCCTGGCGCCGCCGCTGCCGCCGCGCCGCAGCCGGCGCCTCGCGGCTGGAGACGGCGGCCAAGGAGCCAGCTTGGCATCGCCGAGACCGCCAGCGACGGTCCTCGGCGCGCGTGCTGAAGGCAGCCTCCCTGCTGGCGCCGCCGGCCGTGGCTCTATGTGGTGTGCGCCCCCGACAGAGGTGAGGCGCCCCGCGGCGAGCAAAAGCCAGCGGCGCGCATGGAGGAGGCTGCTCCTGGCGACCAGCCGCCAGGCCGCCCTGGACCACGGGCTGGTCGAGCTGGATTTCGGCGCCTGGCCAGCCACGCCCTTCGACTACGACTTCGTCGAGGGCTGGCTGCAGGAACCCGCGCGCGAGAAGTGCGAGAAGTGGGAGGCGACGGTGGTGCCCAACACGTTCAGCTACAGCGCTGAGACCTGCCCCGCAAGCCTCGAGCCAGGGACCAGCGACTACGCGACGTGGGCGGCGAAGATGGGGCCCGACACGATCAGCTACAGCACTGGAACCATGTCATGCGAGAAGGGGGAGGTGAAGTTGGAGCCCACCGTAACCAGCCGCAGAGACACGGCGGGATGCGAGAAGCTGGAGGCGAAGACGAAGGTCGAGCCCAACGTGACCAGCTACAGTGCAGAGAGCCCATGGGCGGAGAGGGAGGCGAAGACAGAGCCGAACTTGATCAACTACAGTGTCGAGGCGCGCGAGAAGGAGCGAGAGACGCACGAGCGAGACGGGCGAGCAGTGGCTGCTAAGTTGGCGAAGCTGGAGCCCAATATCGTTTGCTACTCCTCGTCGAGCCTCGCCGCCACGGCTGGATCAGAGAAAACGGTTTGCGAGCAGTGCGTGAAAACTGTTTGCGAGAAGTGTGAGAGCGAGCAGAGCGAGAAGGAGGAGGCGAAGATAGAGCCCGACATCACCCGCTACAGTGCTTGGATCAGGGCATGCGAGAGGCGGAAAGCGAAGCTGGAGCCCGACATCATCGCTGGCCACAGTACTGAGAACAGCGCATGCGAGAAGAGGGAGGCGAATACAGAGCCCGACACCATCAGCTGCAGCGCTGGGATCAGGGCTTGCGAAAAGGGGGAGGCGAAACTGGAGCCCGACCTCAGCATTGAGGGGCCTCCAAACGAGTCTTCGAATTTCCTTCCGACCGACCTGGTTTCTGGAGAGCCGAAGGGCGACCCCTTCGAGCCCCAGGCCGACCTCGAGCTGGAGGCAATAGTGAGCGCACCTGAGAAGGCGGACAGGACGTCCTCTCAAGAGCCCTCCCATCCTGGTGCGCAGACAGCCGCGAACATCGTCGACACGCGCGCCTGCGAGAAGGGGAACGCGAAGCTGAGCAGCTACTGCGTCAGCAGGGCCATGTGGCACGCACGCTCCCAAATCGCCAGCACATGGCTAGAAGGCGGCGAAGCGATCGAGCCCAATGCCATCAGCTACAGTGTTGGAATCAAATGGGAAGCGGAGGACATACATGGAGTGTCGGGGCCCCTTCCGAGGGTTGACCAGAAAAAGGTGGAGAAGCGATATTAAAGATATCTCCACGGTGAGGAAAGCGGCAAGTTCACGATCACAGGGTCGAGCGGGAGGCCCACGTGGCCCCTCAGAGCAGATTTCGACAACATGCTGCTCCTGAGGGCCACAAGGGCGAAGGCTTCGACCAAAGGCATCAGGATACGCAGAGTGTAAATGCGCTGCATGAGAGAGGAGTTTACATGCTGTATGAGTGAATTGCAGCGTGGTTGTTCTGTGCTGCGCTAGGGGCCCCAAGCGTTTCTGGGCTCCCGAAGCGGCACCCGCCTAGGCGAAACTCGACTGCGTCGTCGCCGAATTCTCCCGGATTCTCCTCCTCCTCCTCCGCCTCCTCCTCCTCCTCCTCCTCCTCCTCCTCCTCCTCCTCCTCCTGGGGGGCCGCGGCGGACCACCTGGGGGGGGGGGGGGGGCGCTCGGGCCAGCCTGGACTGCCCCCCCGGGACGCTCTGTGCGCTGGCCCGCGCGTTGCCCTCTGCCAGGGAGGGGGGCGAGGAGGAGGAGGAAGAGGAAGAGGAGGGCGAGGAGGAGGAGGAGGAGGAGGGCGAGGAGGAGGAGGAGGAGGAGGAGGAGGAGACACGCGGCCCGTCTTGCGGACCTGCGGCGGGCCAGCCGGCCCGAACGGCCCTGGGGTCGCGGGGGCGCAGGAAGGAACCACAGGCTTCGCGGCGCGAGAATCCCAGCTGACGCTGGAGCACTGTATTGTCCGAGGCGCTCGTAAGGATCCAGTGTATTCTCCAGGCTAGTGCTGTATCCGTTGTGCCCGTGGCTCCGAGCGCGTTTGGCCGGATGCTACTACACTGGACGCCCAAGGGCACTGGATCCTCACATTGCATCCTTACCATAGTGTTTGACAGTATCTGCCTTCCTCTTAGGCAGGGGACGCGTGGTTTGGTATTGCATGCACGCGCGTCCTCGAGAACACGAGCGCTGGGGTGTATTCCTGCTGCGCCCAGCGGACACAGCCTGACACGCCTCTGCAGACTCGTTAGTCATTCGATATCCTCCTCCTCGTCCTCGTCATCCTGCTCCTTTTCCTCCGCCTTCTCCTCCTCCTCCGTCCTCCTCCTCCTCTGCCTTTTCCTACCTCTCGGCCACGGAAACCGACCCAGTTGCTGATCATGCCCCTCATCCTCTCCTAACGGACTTCTCGTTCTTCCCCTAGTTTCTCCTCACCTTCCCTCCTTCCCCTCCTCCGCCTCAGGCAGTCCTCGTGGGAAATGTGCTACGTTTCTCTTCCCGTTTCTCTGTCCGCTTTTCCTGCTTGGGGGAGAAAGAGGGGGAGGGGGAGAGGGGACGGGAAAAAGCAGGAGGACAGGAGGTAGAGGAGAGGTTGGGGGTGCAGCAGGAAGGCGCCCCGATAGGAACCAGGGAGGTACCACATCCACGCGTCGTCCGCTGGGCATTTTCTTGCACAGGCTCACTCCTCCTGCTTCTCCTGTCTAGCCCTCCCCTACCCCCCCCCCATTCTCTGCCGTCCCCATCTCGTCGCTCCAGACCTCCGACGTCGTGGTTTTCACGACGTGGGCCCCTGGAGCCCCCGACCCCATCTCCAAGACAGCCGTTGTTTGGCGCCCGCTGCTTGTTTCTCTTCCCGAGGCCCGGGGACGTCCTTGGAGGGCGAATTTGTCCAAGAACGCCCGTCGTGTTGTTGTTGGCCAAGAGCTCTAGGATTTCGCCCCCTCCCCTTGCCTCATGCGTTTCCTCCCCCTGTTCCGCCCTCATCCCCCCCCCCCCGGGCCTCGCGCGCTCTCGCCCGCCATGAGGACTCTGGTGGCGCCGTGCGTGAGGACTCGCCTGTGTCGGCAGCGCCTGCTAGCCAGGCGCAGCACGGGACAGGTTTCGGGAGCAGGAGGTGCGCATCGTCAGATTTCAAGGCGTCGACAAAAAAAAAGGTAGCAGGGAGTCGCGGATAAGAGTGGGTTGCGGATAAGTGTGCGGGGGCGGCGGGGACGTCGGCAGTCTGCAAGGCTCTGAAGAAGCCCGCCGCAGGCGCTTGAGGTTTCACAAGTTACAGAACGAGCCCGCAACAGGCGCCGATCATCCCGTGAAAGCAGTGCGAGCGGGTCGCAGGTGGGTCGAAGGCCAGGTCGCGCGTGGGTCACGCGTGGGTCGCGGGTGGGTCGCGGGTGGGTCGCGGGCGGGAGGGTCGCGGGTGGGTCGCGGCGGGTCGCGGGAGGGTCGCGGTGGGTCGCGCGGGTCGCGGGTCGCGGGTGGGTCGCGGGCGGGTCGTGGGTGGGTCGGGCGGGTCGCGGGGTGGGTCGCGGGGTGAGTCGCGGATGGGTCGGGGTGGGTCGCGGGTTGGGTCGCGGGCGGGCGGGTCGCGGGTGGGTCGCGGGCGGGTCGCGGGTGGGTCGCGGGCGGGTCGCGGGGTGGGTCGCGGGGTGGGTCGCGGGTTGGGTGGTCGCGGGGTGGGTCGCGGGTGGATCGTGGTGGGTCGCGGGTGGGTCGTGGGTCGTGGGCGGGTCGCGTTGGGTCGCGGGGCGGGGCGGGGTGTGGTGGGCGGGTCGCGAGGTGGGTCGCGGGTTGGGTCGCGGGTGGGTCGCGGGTGGGTCGCGGATGGGTCGCGGGTGCGTCGCGGGGTGGGTCGCGAGCGGGTCGCGGGCGGGGTCGCGGGTGGGTCTGGGGTGTGTCGCGGGCGGGTCGCGGGGTGGGTCGCGGGTAGGTCGCGGATGGGTCGCGAGCGGGTCGCGGGTTGGGTCGTGGGATGGGTCGCGGGTGGGTCGCGGGTGGGTCGCGGATGGGTCGCGGGTGGGTCGCGGGAGGGTCGCGGGTTGGGTCGCGGGTGCAACACAAGAACGACAATAACAAGAATAATAACAACAACAAAGAAAGCAGCAGCAACGATAAGAACAACACAAACAACCGAAATAACAACCAGATCAGCAACAACACAAACAAACAACCGCAATGACAACAACACATACAACAACATCAACAACAATCAGTTTAAGATTGTTCGCTCATATCTGCCCACGCGCCAATCAATACGTACATCCCAAACCGTCGGTACCCGCCCTCGTCATCTTCGATCGTACCCCCGTGGGGGTATATCTTCCTTACCTGCCACTTGCGTTTAGTTCACCCCTTCAAACCAGGGAAGAGAAGACGGGCGGAATGGGGGAGGGGGAAGAATGAAGCACGAGAGAAATTAGCAGGAGAGGTGCAAGGAGCAGACAACAAGTGGTAGAACCAGACGGTCAGATCTGGTGGGCAGACCATAGCGGGCAGGTCGGGAAGGCGGGCCAAGGCGACCAGGTCGAGCATGCGGGTTGTTGAAGCGTGGGTCCTGCATGAATCGCGAGGAAGTTTCGAGCGACACCGCGATTCCCAAGTCAACCGTTAGAAAAGCCAAAGCGACAGCGTGATTCTTGAGCGCCGAAGACACACCGTTTGAATAAACCGCGAGGAAGTCCCACGCGAGAGCGCGATTCGTATACGAAGTGTGGGGACGTCCCGCGCGAGAGCGCGATTTGGGAATAACGTATGAGGAACTATCAGGCGGGAGCCGTTATGATTGTAAACCAAGGGCCGACGACACAGTTTGAGCCCCGTGTCTCCCATTCTTTCTTTCATATAATCAACAAAAAGGGTGCGAGCCCCGAGGGGGGCATGTCAATTGAAAAATAAAATGGTCACTGGAGGGGGGATCAACAGTACGTATTCTTCAGTAGTGGGAGTACAAGAATCCGCACCACCGAACCTCACATCAGCCACGCGCCCAGGGATGGTGAATGACCGCTCGGCCCCTGCATTGTGATTACACGGGGGAACCAAAGCTGTTGCCCGCACGCATTACGTGAACGTAGTATGTGTTCTCTGTCTTCGTCTCTCCATCACTTGGTTGTCTTTTAGATAGTATCCGCCTTTTTGATTTTCACCATCCCCCGATCCACTTGATAATTACCTTCCGCCCACTACATATCATCCTCTACCCTCCAGTATACCATATCTACTATTTCAACTCTGCGCGCTCCCGAGGTGGTGCCTCTAGTCTCTCTATACGCTCTGCTCTTCCCAGCCTTTCTCTTTTCATGTTCTCAGCCTTCTAAATCTGAGAGCCCAAGAACCAGGCCAGCCACTCAAGACGGCAGGAAACTTGCACCAAGACCCAGGAGCACGGGGACACGGGAACCCAGCCGCCCACAGTAAACGGAGGCAAATGTTCCCCAAATTTTCAAGGAATTACAGTTCTTAGCCCAGAGCTCGACCGCCAGTTCACGGGCATTCATGCGAGCAGTCAGTCTGGTCAGTAACAACTTAGTGGATTCATATGTGGTTCTCCGGTGGCCGTTCGAGCGCCTGTGCGGACTGCTTCTGCCGCGCTGCGACGTATAAGAAGTGTCGTTTCCGAGTCGCGCCGCCTCAGAAAACAGCAGAATAGGTTTGCCCGTTGAGCAGGGGCGATGCACGCAGCAGTCCGCGAGTAGCGGGGGAGGGCAGTAGAATTCAAAAACCCTACCAGGCAGGCCTCCTTGGCTTTCTTCCACGCTTCAACGTGCCAGGGGGCACGGTGGCGGATTGACCACATATATTGCACGTCGAAGATTGAACCACGTAGATTGCACACTATGGGTTCTCCTTGCTGAAAGAATCTTAGGATCTCCCCCCCTGGACTTAACCGCTACCCATTTCGTATTGCAATATACAGATGGCTCTGCCCCATCGTCCATCCGAAATACAAACCCGTACCATCCCAGGCAGGCCGGTAATGGCTGCCCCCCCCCCCATCCTCTGCAAGAAACAACGCGCGCACATTCGTTAATGAAAATTCACCATGTTCAATAATACCTTGCAGCAAGTGGGACGATGTAGGCACTCGTGGCGCGCGCATGCCGAGTTTTTTTTTTTTTTTTTTTTTTTTTTTTTTTTTTTTTTTTTTTTTTTTTTTTTTTTTTTTTTTTTTTTTTTTTTTTTCCAAACACCGAACCGTAGGATGCTTAAGGATTTCAATAGCGAGTGTCCCGAGAACATATACAAGCACATTGTTTCGCAAGAAAAGTTTTCAGTAAAAGTGTGCGGTCGCGCCCTTGCGAACTCTTAAGTATAGGAAAATTAGAAAGAGCGTGTTCTACCGCTGCTGGCGGAAAACCGAGGGGGGTCACTACCGGTTCGAACCCCTCCCCCCCCCCTCCGGAAAACCGGGGGGGGTCATTACCGGTTCGAACCCCTCCCCCCCCTCTCGAGCTCGAAAACCACCGGGGGGGGTCACTACCGGTTCGAATCCCCCCCCCCCCCTCGAAAACCGAGGGGAGGTGCGGACAGTGGTGGGGACGGTGGTGGTGGGGACAGTGGTGAGGGGGCAGCGGGACAGTGGTGGGGACAGTGGGACAGTGGTGGGGACCGTAGTGGTGGGGACAATGGTAAGGACAATGGTGGGAACAGTGGGGACAGTGGGACAGTGGTGGGGACGGTGGTGGTGGGGACCGTGGTGTGGGGACAGTGGGAATGCGGTGGAAACAGTAGGACAGTGGAGGGTACAGAGGTGGTGGGGACAGTGGTGAAGGCGGTGGCGAGGACGGCGGTGGGACAATGGGACAGAGGTAGTTACAGTGGGGACAGTGGTAGGGGCAGTGGGGACAGTGGTGGGAACAGTGGGACAGCTCAGTGGTTCGAACCGGCAGTGACCCCCCCCCTCCGGTTTTCGAGGGGGGGGGGGGTCGAACTTGTAGTGACCCCCCCCGGCTTTCGAGTTCGAGGGGGGGGGAGGGGTTCGGGGAGGAGAAAGGTTCAGATCCCAACCGGACGCGTGAGATCCCAACCGGACGGTTCAGATCCCAACCGTCAAGGACACGTGGGACGTGTGAGATCCCAACCACTTTGGAGCCTCAGAAAAGCTCCAAGCCTCTGCAAGGTTCTGAGAGCCCCTGAGAACCCCTGAGAGATTCTGAAAGATTCTGAAAGATTCTGAAAGAT